ATGCCACGTGACATGTAGCAGATAACTTGTAACTGGGAGTAAAAAGTAAGGGCAATAAGGCCAGGAATCCTGCGTATTTTAATTTCATTTAGAGTTCAGGCCAAATGATTGTTTACCCAGTGATAAAAAGATGCAAGATCACTATATTAATCTCTTTTTATCTTTGCAAAAGGATGAAGGAACCAATATTGAGATGCTGGCCCACTACTTGTACACCTCCAAGCCAAAGCTATCCAAAACACCATCCCTACTTAAAAAAGGAAGTTTTTCTTAAGGTACTTGGGGCGGGAAGCATTTTGTATGTACACAGACTGAAATGGTAAAATAGCCATCTAGTAGAATTTATTCATATAAATATGTAAGCCACATAGGATGTCTAAGCTAGACACTTTCCCTAAATGAACCTTATTTTAGGTAGTGATAAAAGAGTCCATAATCATGTGTTTAAAAAGACAAAGTACTTTTTTTTCTTTTCCTGTTTAGGCACAAATTGAAACAAAGAAGTGAGCTTACAAACAGAGCTTTATAATGGTCATATACAATACAGGCATAATTTCTTTCAAATAATCTTCACTACATAGATCTGAATCTAGTATGTTCCTTATTTTCAATATTATTCTGCTGCAGGACGAAGAACTCTGAAGTGACCTTTTGTGTACTGCCAAGTAAACGATGTGTTTCAATTCAAAATCATTATCTCACTGGCATTTTGTTAATATATTTTTTACTCCTGAAAGTATATCGCTACCCCCATTTCTTAAATTCTTTAGTAATTCATTATATGAAGGACAAAGGCATACATACACTTAAAGAACTGTGTTCCTGTACCAAATAAGGTGTTCTGTAAAGGGAGAAAGAGGTAGCCAGTTCTGTTTCGGAACCAAGGTCACTAGCAAGATGTTAAGACTAGAAAGATAAGGGAGCAACAGTTTTTAAGAGCAAAATGTTTCACCATTCAATACCATAGTTTTACTACACGTATTTCTTTTATAACTATTTCCTCTTATCACCATATATCAAATGGTTACTCAGGCACTGAGTCTGTAAGAATGACTCGAACTATTCCCCAGCGATAATCACTACAGATAAACAAGGATTTGTTCAATCTAAGGAGACTGAATGCTATTACAACTCAATAGGTCTGACACCAAGTTTAAACAAACTATTCCGGAGCTTAGAATAGCTCATATTTTTCTACTACTGCAGTTAAGATACACCTAGGAAATCCCATACTGAAAGATCACTAATCACTCTAACTCCTTTCTAGTTTTGTCAGCAATTGTAATGCCTCATTAAGCTTTTTAAATGAATAGAGGCTGACTTTGCATTAGCTGCAAAGACATACTGCACAATTACAATCCAGGAAGACTATATGCCATCTCCAGCCTTTATGAAATTAGTTGATGGAAACATGCCAGGAAAGATGTTTTACTGAAGCACTGATTCAGATTTTTATTCAAGTTTTTCATCTCAAAACTGTCCCTTAAATATAGGGACTAGGAAGTCAGGTACTTGCTCACTTATTAGCCTGAAGTTAAATTGGGTCTGTCTAAACTTCCACATATCTTTCCAAATCAAAGTTCTTGGATTAATTAGGACAGGGCTTCATGACTAGTTTAATTGACCTAAACATTTCTCCATAAACTAGTCTCATTCTCCTCTACCAGGGAGATGCCAGCCTTTTCTTATAGTTTTCACCTTCTGGCTGGATCAGATTTCCTGATCCACCCCACCAGTCTCAGAGTAACACTCCCTCCAAGGAACAAGAGTGAAAATGCAGTTTGTAGCATGAAAGAAGACTAGCCAGCTGTTAAAGCTCATTTCCCCCCCACCCCCAGAAAGGTAAAAGAAAAAAAAAAAGACTCCATCATGCCGGTAGAAGTCAAATTGGTTTTTATACTACTAGACTTAGGAAAAGTTCAGAGTCTGCTCTGTAACAGAATCTGCACCATCACTTTAAACCTTTAGGTTTTTATTTTTGTAGATGGTAGTTCCTGAACCTCACCCTGCCTCAGCTTCTCCAGTCAGTGACAACCTGTATCAAAACTGGTATACTCTACCACAGTTTGAGAGTCATGGCCATTCTACATTCTTGTAGAGCTTTAGAAGAACACAAGCTACATACAGAATAAGAAGAGTGCTTAAACATAGCAGCAATAGCTCATCAAGCAGGAATTTAGACATTCTTGAAACTAATCTGCATAGGATTTCATTGTCACTGACAGGACCCAGATGAGATTCATGCATTCAGGTAGAGTCCCAAAGCATCAGAGTTTGGCTTTCATTCTGCTGTTGAATCTGAAAACTAAAACCAAGAAAAAGCACAATAGGTATTGGGGGGAAAAAAAGTCTACCTCCACTGGCAGTTTCCCCAGTAAAGTAGGTATTTAAGGAACTATCGTTTGAATGTAGACCAACCTTCTATGCCATACTAGACAGATTCAAGAACTGGCCTTTTTTTGCCCATTAGTGACAAACTTCATGCTACATCGCATAGACTCAGTAAACTTACAGTTGAAGCCAAGTGAACATGAAATTACACCTTGTTTGACTGGTCATCAAGACTTATGTTTTGATCTACTCAAGAAGCATCAAATAAACAGACTATGCACATGTTCTACTGGCTAGTTACTAGATTTGTGCAGCTATAATTAAAGTTTAGAAAAAGACAGTACGCTGGAGATTAAACAGCTTATTAAAAGTGAGTTTACAGTCTAAATGGAATTGTTCTGCAAGTGACTGAATGGGAACATTATGGTAGTTCCAGGTCACCTAGAAAGGTTAATAACTCAAACAAGCTGGCAAGCAAGGAACATGGATGGGGTGCAGCTTCCTTTCTGAAGTGCTACAGGCTGTCAAAAAAAAAAATTAAAGTAGCAATCAAGCTTTAAGTATCCAATAAATCTGCACAAGCCTAATGGACACATTCTTTAGAGTGGTACATGGTTGGAGGATGAGAGACCATGGACATAAATTGACATTTGAGAGGTTCAGACTAGATAAACTCTCATGAGGACAGTCAGGCATTGAAACAACTTTCCCAGGGCCATACAGTCTCCATGAAAGCCTGAGCACCCTAGTATGACCTTGCTCGGAGAAGGATGTTGGCTTAGAAGACTTCCTAAGAACCCTTTCATCTGAATTATCTTATGAATCTAAGGTAGTTAAACCCAGTTTTAGCTAATGCCAAACCTTACTGTGGTAATTTAAAATAAGCCTTTAACATAGCAGCTACTAGAAGATAAACTTGTTTTCAAATGTCAATGAAAGCATTTGTGTATAGGGTAGGACACATGATGTGAAGATTCGTGTTCTCAAAAGCATACACCAACAACACAGATAAGATGCCCAAACATATTTATTTGTCTCTTAAAAAGTATGTTACTTTAGAAAAAAAAGACAGCCTAGGAAATCTAAATACAGATTAAAGTATATCCAATCTGGCACATACTTCATGCTGATGTTTAAGTAAACATCAGCACCATCAGACCAAGCAAGATAAGGCTTCTAAAGTCAGTAGTAATGAGGTACCAGAACAGAAGAAATCCTTAAAATAAAGAGGAGCTTCAAAGCCTTTCAGCCAAGCAGAGACGGAGTTCCAAAATGTATTAGAGAACCATGAAATCCCTCTAACTAGGAAATCTATGTACAGATTAAAGTATATCCAATCTGGCACATACTTCATGCTGATGTTTAAGTAAACATCAGCACCATCAGACCAAGCAAGATAAGGCTTCTAAAGTCAGTAGTAATGAGGTACCAGAACAGAAGAAATCCTTAAAATAAAGAGGAGCTTCAAAGCCTTTCAGCCAAGCAGAGACGGAGTTCCAAAATGTATTAGAGAACCATGAAATCCCTCTAATCCTTTTGTTCTTCATTTGCTGCCAGAAATACATGAGTTATAACAAGGAAACATAAGCATCTCAGTATACAGAGTTACAGACTGGTAAGCCAGTTCACCAGCTCCAAGTAGTCAGAAGAGTGCAGCACTGTTCTAAAATTGAAAAAGTTAGAGCTTGGGGAGTTTTTTTTTTGATAGGCTAACAATAACCAGTCAAGCTATTTCCTTCAAGACCTCTCACCTCCCTCATGGTATTCAGAACTATCTCAAGATGGAAGGAAAAAGAAGCAAGTTCATTATCACAGGGCAGTAAGATATTTACAAACTCTTGGTAAAGTTTTCAATGTTAGTGCATGAAAAAGTTACTGGATGTTTATTTCTGGATGTGCATATGGGTGAGGTTACTGTAACTATGTGCCAGCAGTACAACTATATTCATTAATGTGTTTCATATGTAAAGTATTAGCTGAAAATATTCTGCCTTCAATGGTTGGAGATGCATTTTTGTTAGCATCTCTATAACCATGCCTTTCCCCTGTTAAGTACAGTCATTTACCCATTTGTTCTTACTCGGTGGTAAGAGCCATCTACTTCACTCAGTCCTAGCGAACACACTAAGTAAGATACCTCCCCATCTGTCATTGGCCCCTTCAAGATTTCCGGGATATCTCGATCCAGGAGAACTAGAAATGAGACAGATCCTCATGGTGGGGGAATAATAAATAGGGACAAGTGTGTGGGTGAGAAGTCAGGCTAAAGTGGGACATTACTGGTGACAAAGGAAAAGTTTACTGTAAAGGTGCAAGTGTCTATTCAGCTAAAACCATAAGTGAGTCCTATTTGGAATGTAGCATATGTCCTAGAAGCAAACTAGACACTGAATGTTGTCTTTGTTCCTTTTTAGGAGTGTAAACACTACCTTATGTTCTCAAGTAAGACGACACTAATCAGACTTAGACGCAGCCACTCAAGCAAGTGGAATGATAACGCACAAGATATTCTTGTTTAGCATGAAACCAAGTATGCAAACACCCACAAGAATCACCTATTCAGATAATACCAGACACCCCATACGGATTGTCACAACGCAAGCACCATAGCAGCAGTTTAAGAACAGTCTTGCTGCTCATCCCATCACATTTACTGATGAGTGGTAGCATTAGCAGCACTGTGATTTACTCTCTGCTTTCAATGGGTCTAGGTCCAGTTTTGGTTTCCCCACATCATTCTCTTCATTAGGAAAGGTTTTGTAGTTGGCAAGGATGTTTTCCACCAAGAATCGAGCAGCTTCATCTATGTTGATGTTGTCCTAAAAACATTGAAAGCAAAAAAGTCAGTGATTTTTTTTAAGTAGTCACACATTCCTATTAGAAGCTGGCCAAACGCAAAAAACTCTTCTACAATCTCATCAGCATGACACAAACAGCTTAGATGCATTAGGTCATTGCTCATACACTTGCTTGTTGAAAAAAGTTACCAGAAAGGTTTGAGACAAAGTTATTCACCCATATTACAAATAGGATACTTCGACTCCAATCTAGTATGCAGTCGGGGGATAAATGTCACCTGCATTTGGAAGACTCACAAATGCTAAAGTGCCTATTATCTTTCCTGATGCAGAAATGCAATTACACTGTTCATAGTAGTGTTCTACCTTTTGGGGCCTTTTTCTGCTTCTGCTGCAGTTTGGATGCACTTACTTATGTAAAAGGACCTTTTCTATCAGTGTCAAAACCTCAGCTAAATCAGGGTACCTCATCTAGCCACTCTACATTTTCTTGTGCATGCTTTGAAAAGTACCTTAACATACACTCTAAAAGGTGTGTATGCAGGATAACCTGATGAAATACAGCTCTAGGTATCTTAGTTACTGAGGGGCCAAGCTGGCCAATGCCAAGGGGCCTTTGGCCACAGCTTTGAGCTGGCTGGGCCACCTGTTAGCTCACCACAGGGCTGCCACATTTGGAATCACTGGTCTTTGGTTCCAAAGGAAATACCACCCCAGTGCACTCTTCTGTCTCCGTAACTGCAGATCTAAACTCTACATGAGCAACGTTAGATCATGAGAACAGTTGACCCATCACTACTGCACTTCACAAGCTTGTGGGTGTCAGCCACAGACCGCTTCTGGCAGCTTGCAGGTAGGCACTTTTCCCTGCCCAAAGTGGAGGAGGATTCTCCTCATTTTAGTGTAAGGATGTTCATAAGGTATTTCTATGAATATTTATACTCTCTGCAGTTCTTTTGCCTTTAATATTCTCCCTAATCCACAGGGAGTGGGACCTATATTACTGATGACTAGACTGAAGATTCAAGTATCAGTTCCAGCAGAAAGGCAAAAGCAGATTATCAGGATATTTAAGTGGGCAGGACTTAAAATCATAAACTGATTTGGTATGCTTAGAAAACAAGAAAGCTGCCCTGAATTTTTGCTAAGCTATTTTTAGGACTCTGAAGAGGTAGTTAACAGGTCGATTCGTAACTGAACTAGGACCAATATTGTCTGGACTTTTCTCTGCACCAAGAACCTTGTTTTACATTGTCGTGTCTTAAACACCACCCAAAACGCAAGCTGTCACTACACTTCCACGTTAGGTTTTGCTCCAATGTTACTTGCATTTATTTTTAACCAATGTTGAAGTTTATGTATAGCAGTGTTATGGACAGGTGAAGCTTCAGGGAAGACATAACCCAAACCAGAATCTTGGTATTCTTTGAGTACGAAGAGCCTTAAAATATCAGTTTTTAGTAACATATAGGTGGGTTTGGGAATTATTTGTTCAAATGCAAACAAATTACTAGCTAATTTAACCAATTCCTGTCACTGTGTACCCTTCTTCCTTAAAGTGATCAGGAGAAGGCTTGTTACCTTATTTCTTATCATATTCATCCTACAGACTTTTATTTCCTTTAAGAGTTGTCTACACATCACTTTGTGCCAGTTCATCAGCAACAGTTAAAGGAGGTTGGCAAGCCAAGGGAAAAGAGGGACTTTGAGGTTTAGCTTACCATATAAAGGAGTTATTAATCAGACCGGTAATTTGGTCTGTCAGCCACATTGTCTTCATCTAGAAGAATCTTCCATTTTAAGGATAAATTGGGTTTTAAGGAACTGTTGGATTCCACTTTCAACTAAGTTACCGCAAGTTTATCTGTGTATTGACCAAGTCTGTAGACTAAAACTGTACAGTATATGAAGTTCCTCAAAGTTATCTGTTTTAATAAAGTAGCTATCTCTCTTAGCTTAAGTTAATACACAGAGCAATTTGTTTTTCTCCAGTTCAGTCTTGACACTGCCTGATAAAATAGGAAAGTGCTTTAGTGACATTAGCATCTGGGTGGGTAGTAACAAGTCAGCAAACAGCTTATTCATTTCTGGAGTCTTACTACTTCCTACATGCAACAGCAAAGACAGAAGCTGCAATTTAAAAACCTGCACCTAAAGATTACTTTTATCTTTTGGATAGTTTGATCAGTGTTTAGTAGTAATAACATCTGAAGAATGACACTGATCCTGACACATGCAAGGAAAAAAAAAAGCTTAAACTCAGTTAATCCAGTTTTCCAGTTAGTTTTAAGGTTCTCTGAATTTCAAATGCAGTTCTAATCTAAATTAAATATGCTGCAAGTCTTCCAACTTTTGCTGAACATTGGAGACTTGACTGTCGCTTCCTATACTTGATGATTTTCTTTCCCACATGACTATATTCATCCGTTCTTATGCCAATACTTAGAAAAGTTAAAATATGTTTCCTCTTTATGCTCACCTTGGCAGAGGTTTCAAACCATCCAACAAAGCCACCTTCTCTGCAGAACTGGTCCATTTGAGAAGGATTCTGGCTGCCATCTTTCTTCTGGTCACACTTGTTGGCAAGAAGAACAGCAGGGATAGGGCTGCCATTAGGAAGTAGTACTTTACTGTCCAAATCATGCTTCCATTTTGAAACAGCCTCAAAAGTGGAGCCTCTTGTGACATCGAAGACCACAAAAGCACCAACTGCCTCTTTGTAGTATACTCTGGTCATATTTCCAAAGCGTTCCTGGCCTGAAAGAGAAGACAGTGAGAGAGTATATTTATATTTAAGCATGAACTGTAGTCAGTGTAAGTGGGCTTCTGTACCAGGTTAGTACAGAGGAATTTGGCATTTAGGTCTAGTCATATAGTTCATACAATGGATAGAAGAAGCAATATTGTAACAGCCATTATATGTATCATACAAGTCAGATCCTAAAAGCAGTTTGCAATCCCAAATACCACATTGATTTTTTTTTTAAACTTATTTGTTGAGTAGCGTTCTTTGAGAAGTAATGCCTAACAACACTACCAGCACAGCTATACATAAATTCTTTCCTCAGAAAAGCTTCTGAAAGATTTAGATATAAACCTAATCACTTCAGCTAGAGACTTAAGCACACACAGAGACTTTCTGAAGGGTGAGCAACAAGGGTTTCTACAAGCTCCGAGGCTAACAGCCTTAAAAGCATCTTCTGAAGAAGTCACCTATATTAGATTTTTTTTCTTAGGGACAAGCTCAAAAGGAGCTAGTTTAACAGTTCTAGCTAAACTTGTTATCTTTGACTTCATCTTTTAAGTCTGAGACCTTCTCTGGAATAATTTCCAACTGTAGGAGTTCTACAGCAATCCCAGGATTTGATACAAGATGACTAGAATAGTTAAAGTACAATTATTCACAAAAAAAAAATCAAGAAAACCAATGGTCAGTGAGTATAGTCAACTAAAGCTTTTTCTTATTAAGTACAACTACTGCAGTCAGTCTACATTTCAAGTATAGAGTGCCAGTTCAGTTATTCTTCTGTTTGGAAGGTCAGACCATCATGCTGTGTTTGTACTGGAGTAGACATAGCAGTGTCAAGTGCAAGCATGTTGCTTGGGAAGTTCAGGCAACTAAAATAGCTTTCTGCTTTGTTCAGAAATCTTCACTGGGAGAAGTAATCCCTGTACTTTATAATTCAGTTTTACAGTGTATCATCACTTCAACTTTTAGCATTTAGTGCATATGCAGTTTTAGAACAGATAGAGAAAGTAAGAATTTTAATTGGAACATAGTTATCCTCTTTTTATAAACATTCAAATCTGCCTTTGATTAGCAAGGACAAACAGTTAGAAGAACTGGGTATTATCATCTTCTCAGAAAGAGCTGGAAATTCACTAGGTGAAGGAACTTGACAAGGGATCCTGTTCAGCAGCATGTTTTTCTAGCTCAGTGGCCTCATTTTAATGTCAGTACTTCAGTGTACTGATTAGCTCATTCCCGATAGACATTTTCAGAAGAGGTTGACTAAGCAGCTGATAGAATTGCTGAAAAGCAGCAGCAGCTACAGTGAAGTTCCAGAGAACTATAAAGGTCTATGAAGAGGACTTTACTTCTGGCTGTTCAACTTTAAAGTATGATGCTGCATAAAACAGCATCACTAGCCAGCATATTCTGAGGAGTGGAAATTACACAATTTCTTCACTACCAGCTCATTATCCCCTGTTTGAGAACGGGGAGCATGGAAGAGGAAAGCTCTTTCCTCCATATTCAAAGCTCAAGTTTTAAAGCAGCATTTATGCTGTGGACTCTAAGGCCAGCAAGCTGGGCACCAACCTGCATCTCTGACTATGTCACTGGAAAAGGCACATTGCTGACAAGTCTAACAATGCACACATAACTTGTATACAAGTAACTCATTGTCTCCCTAGGCCTTTCCAGGCTGGATTCTTATGCCTAAAAGGTGATTTTGGTATAGCCTTACCACAAATTGTTGTGCCATGTGCCCACTGTTTTCATTAATCAAATACCAGTAGGAAAGAGTTTGGCCAGAAGGCTTTACTACTTCTGCAGAGCAAGTGTGCCACATCTAAAGAAACAAAATCCCCACAATCTAAAGGTAAAGCTTCTTTTAAATGGAGCTGCACAGGGTTCAATTTAGTTATATTAAGCCAGTCACCGCATATGGCACCACACGAGCTATGAGGAGCTCCTTCTCAGCTTCCCCATTTGTTTAGCTGTCAGTCTCACCATTGATTCCTGTTATACGGGAACACTTCCAACTGTGCTAAAGCCCTGAGTCTTGTGTCCAATTCAGGCAGTATATCCCTTCACACCATAGGACAGGCCCACAAAACAAACAGTGTAATCTCAAGGTCTACAGTGCTCTGTACCAACCTCAGTCTTCTACAGAAAGATTTCTTCAGGTTTGGCCCCGAAATAGTCTAGAAATGGACACCACTTGCTGTTATTTACATGAGACTGCACATGAATCTGAAGCAGTGAGGGAACAGTCCCATTAGTCCTTCCTATTCAGTTGGAGATCTGTGGGGATTTCAGTTTTTTTAATTAAGGCTATAAGTTTTTCCAAAAACTTGATGGATGTTTACATAAGAAAGTTAAGTTGTATTTATTAGTTGCAGAAAGGGTTGCTAGACTGTTACCAGCAAGGAATAGAGACAGCATCATCACTACATATGAAAACTAAGTTATTTGGAAAATGTGGAAAAAGGTTATCGGGCAGTTATTTCTCAGATAGCTGCGCATGCTGTAGGTAAACATGGTTGTAATCAGTTACCACAGTAAAAGACATTACCATTGACTGAATCGCTTCCTGTCTACTGCTCTCCCATCCAAAAAAGCTCTAAAGATAAACAGTTAAGCAAGAAGGCCATACTAGCCTCCTGTGGCCATAACTCTTGCTGAAGCCTGCACAACACAGTGGGTCTAATGTGTAGGAGAGAGATTGAAGCAGTACAGGGTCACATATAGCTTCCAAAGAAAAGAAACAAAGTTACAAAGTATATATCATAACCAAACTTTAAGAGTCCTAAACACCACCAAACGTTTTTTCTTAAAGAAATTACAGGGGGCCTAGCCTGGGCCAGAGAGTCTGGTCATCACTCACATAAGTTTGTCAATTCCATTTCCAAGAGAATTCCCCATCATCTTGCCATGGTCAGTCTTCCCCACACATCTGGCCCAATGCCTTTATACACAATGAGCTGGAGAGCTGCACTGACTGGTAATCAACCAAGACTCCCTGCCAGTTGCTTCCTTGACATCAGTGACTTCTCATGCCCCAGTATCCCCCAGACTACATGAAGCTTTAACATCATGGCAGCCCCTTCCCCTGTTGGTAAAAGCCAGATATGCTATACCAGAAAGGCAATGACAGTCTTGTGGCAGAGCAGCAGACTAGCTGAATCCCCTCATGGGGTCCTGATCAGGAGAGAGGCCACTGCAAGTAGGGTTGTGCTAACCGGCAGATTCAGGAGCTCTGGAATAATGCAGAAGACAAGCTACTGTACAAAGCTAACAGATTCAGGAGCTCTGGAATAATGCAGAAGCCAAGGTTAGCTTTGTACAGTAGCTTTTCTCATTGTGTGAGAAGACAGCAGTTCTGGTAGGAACGTAAGCCTGTGCTGAACTGTGCTTTGCACTCTATAGCAGTCACTTAGAAAGCATGGGCTTCAGCTGTCCAGAACAATCATTTAAGTATTATTTCTAGCTGGCTTTATCAATAGAAGTCAAAATTTTTGCTCTTATAGTATGAGTTTTAGATTTGGAATTACATATTCTTCTGTAATTTAAATTTGGGTGAAAGTAGACAATTGTTGTGCATATCAGCATAAAAGCCTCTATCTTTACTTACTAGATTTAAGCTTTACATTAGGAGGATTTGATACCCCTTACCCCTAAAATACACACACAAGCTCAACACCACTGTAGTACTACAGATGAATGCCTTTTAATAGGTCAAATACACTCCAGTATGAGTGCTGCCCTTTTCTGAAGTAGCCCAAATTCCAAAACAGGTTTGTTTTTGGTTTTTTTTGTTTTTTTTACAGATCTGCTTTCACCTCTAGAATTCACATCCACTAACAATAGATCTGACCTGCATACTAGCTTATGACTGCTCTTCCATCCTGTCTGGAGGTCTAATGAGGATGGATGTATTCTTTTTATTCCATAGAAAGAAGACAGAAGCAATAATACATGGCCTGCTTAAGAGGTAAGAGTTTTGTTGTGGTAAAAGGTACATGGCATGAGGCAGGAAGAGAATTCAGTATAAACTGAGTAGACTTTCTTTACAATCCTGTTATTACTGACAATGCACATGCTTTAGGCTGAGCTTCTTGTAGGGGATGCAGAGCATTCTAGACAGCCTTTTGAAAATTTAACAGGACTTTCAGGCAAAGCTTTTGCAAGTGCTTTTCTGCTTACAAAAACACTCATACAGAAAAAGCAAACTGTAGAACACACCACTCCTCCAAAGTTTGGAGTGTGAACATCATTCTCTATTTTGGTTATTAAATCTAAATTGACTCAATTTTTGCCATGCTCAGTTCAGCCAGGGATTTGTCATTCCCTTTCCTATGTGCAGCAGAATTTTTGCTGTAGTCATTTCACCATGTATGAGAATAGTGTTGAGCCATACCAAGAGTGGATCATACCCCCAGAGGGGAAGAAGGCTAAAATTGATCAGATGAAACTAGACTTAAAGTCTCCAGTGTGTATAATCATGGAAGGAAGACGACAGGAAAATTACTTGCTTACTACAGCAGTACAGAAAGGACAGAGGATTAATCATTCTGGTAGTTCTACTGCCTTGACCTGATGGTACCACAAAGTTATCCTTCCTCTGTGCCTTAGGGGTTCAGGTATAGATGAGGAGCTAAGCTACAGGGCAGTCATGGGGATCAGAGTTTTTGTTTGGGGGTATAGAAGTGGCTGCATGCAATGCAAAGTTCTGCATTCTCCAACCACAAAGTTTTCACATCTAAATGACTCAGCACGTATTGTCACCATATTTTCCAGTAATTGCAACAACATTAAGTGAAATACTTGCATAGTGTCATGCATCAGGAACTAATACAGTTCCCTACAGCAGCACCACAGGAATTAAGTTTAGTTTAAAACTGTATCAGAGCTTGGAAGCTATTATTGCTTTCCAGTTTACAATGTAACAGGAGTAAACCATAAGTTAAAAACAACATGAAAAAGTTATAGCCAGGTCTGACATTAGAAGCTTTACTTTTGTCCTTTACTTCACTGCAAAAGATAAGTTATCATCATAAGATTCAGACACTGCC